AATCGCTTTTTTATTTAGGCGGCAAGTTTTTCTTCCACTTTTAGGTTATAACAACGATGCGATCACACGGGGTCAACGAAGAAACGATAAAACTTCAAGGGAAGTATCTGGTTCGCAATGACCAAGCGTTTTGGCACAGTTTGAAAGTTAAACCTTTTTTTATATTTTCACAAACCTGACTTGGGGTAGGTAACCACGAACACATCTTCAGCTCTCGTTTGGAAATTGGAGATGACGTCGGACAGTAACGTAGGGTTAGGAGTAAAAAATACTGGAATTTTCATGCCTAAAACATCAAAATACTTCTCCGATGTCCACTCGTTTACTTTCACTTGGAATACAGGCAAACTTTCCATTCCCGTTGTGTAAGCAATGCGATTATATGATTCAACAGCAATTGGCCTCTGATATGGCTACGAAAGGTTACGTGACTGTGTTGAAAGCAGGGTCAATTTCTCTAAGTCACCTAATACACCTTATTCCAAAATGGCCGCCAACCGTTAAAAGCTGGGGCGAGTTGCACGAAAACGAGGTCATAAGGGCCATCTGTGTTTGTTCTGTAAACAAAATGCCGTAAAACTGCTGTGTTCCGAATTGCACGAAAAAGGTCTATCGGGAGGAAGACTGGAATATATCTTTCCACAAATTTCCAAAAAATAAAGACCTATTAGCTGCATGGATTCGAGCTGTTCGAAGAGATGTTGGTCGCCACTTCAGGATATCTTGGCACACGAGGGTTTGCTCGAGACACTTCAAGGATTCAGATTTTCAGAGCACACTTGCTGGCAGAAGAACACTTCATCCTACCGCTGTTTCTTCCATTTTTTCGTGGAAGAAAAATTCTCCTAAGAAGCGAGAACTACCAAAACTCCGGCATGTAGTCTCTAAAGCGGGGCCTCAGGTTGCCAACGAAGAGCTCGAGGTAAATGGTACAAGCTTAAATGTTGACAAGGTTGCCGACGAAAAGCTCGAAGTAAATACATGTAACACTAGCTTGAATGTTGACAAGGCGTACGAAGTCCTAGCGGTCGATTGTACTTTTCAAGAGTCTAGAACTTCGCAAGAAGAAAGCATGTGAATTAACTGAAAAGACAAGTAGTGGAGTTGATAAATAAACTTGAAAAACAAAAGGAGAAAACAAATGCCCTGGTGATAAAACTGAATGAAGTAAAACAACAACTTGTCAACTTGACATCCCGGTACAATCACTTGGAGAAGAAATCTTTTTCCTTAGATCGGTTTAGTAAGTCTATGTGGTTTTACACTGGATTCGCTAATGAAGAAATATTTGATGCGTTATACAATTTATGTGACCCTGGTGAGAATGGCGAAAATATTCGTTATTGGCACTCATCATCCACAGGCCAGGATACAATTGTTCTTAGAGAAAATGATGAATACATAGAAACATTTCCAAAGCCTGGAAGACCAAGGTTACTGCATCCTAAAGAGGAACTTTTTATTACTTTGTTTAGATTAAGACAAGGTTTCGCAGAGGAACATCTTGCTCATCTCTATGGAATATCTCAAGCTACAATGAGCAGGATAATAATAACCTGGGTCAACCTTTTATATTTAAGGCTTAAGGATGTACCCATGTGGCCCTCTAGAGAAAAAATAAACAAACACATGCCAGAGCAGTTTAAAGAAAAATATTCCTCAACTAGAATAACAATAGACTGCACCAAAGTTAAATGCCAAATGCCTTGCAGCCTTTGTTTAAATAGTGAACTTTTTAGTACCTGTAAAAATAACACCACTCTGAAAGCCCTTGTTGGAATAACCCCAGGTGGGGCACTGTCATTTGTGAGCCAGGTTTACACTGGACACATCTCAGACAGGGAAATTGTTCTACACAGTGGTATTTTAGATCAAAAGTTTGAGAATGGAGATTCAGTAATGGCAGACAAGGGATTTACAGTGCAGGACCTGCTCCCTCCAGGCATTGGGCTAAACCTTCCTCCATTGCTCTGTTTTTCTTCCAGTGCTCTTCATCAAAGTGTATTCTTTCAATGCTAAGCCCCCTGCTCATGTACACAAAAAAGTCATTACAAAACTTCTCATGATTTCTTTTTCTTCTTGACACCTTTCCAAAATTTGAAGCTGTAAATCTATACCTGCGTTCTTCAGTCCAAGCATTACAATTATGCTGATCCCTGGTATTTTCTTCTATCTTTTTTGCATCAGGCATAATAACCTTAAGTTCATCTAATAGTTTATTCTGTAGTATATCCAGATCATCAGGCAGATCTAACACAAATTCATCATTCAAATCATCTAATGGCAGTGAAGGATAAGAAGGTTTGGAATTTGATGCTCTTGAAGCTGGTTGAATTGGAGCTAAGTTACATGTAACTTTAAAGTTAGATTCCTGGAATGCAAGTTGGTAAGATCCAAATGACCCTGCAGGACTTTCCCCAAACCTTGTGTCAACAGGGTCATTAGTGTTCAATTCACAAGTTTGTACCAACCTCAGAGTTGGATCTATTTTTTTGTACAGCCTCCACAAAATCATTTAGTTTTGATTTCCTATCGACTTTTCTTGCTTCATAAAGCAGACTTGTAATACCACAACTTTTGTGCTCTCCCTCTACTTGTATTTTGGAAACAGAAACTTCCATAATATATCAGGGCAGGATGAAATACCTTCGACGTGGGGTTGATGCCATCTCTGCAAGTTTGAGGTGCATGCTGCTGAACAGTTTTCGTCTGCCTTATGCTGTAGTTCTGTGACACTTCTACAGTTATAAAGAGTGTACGAGCATATCTTCAGCATTAAAGCTAAAACGTGATTGCAAAAACCGGATTTCCCGGCAGCACACGAGGGGCCACAATTTGCATAAACAACCTCTCCAGAAATCAAGCATAAAGCAATAATTAAATTGTGAGGGCTTTCGTACCTTTTAAAACTACGAAAGCATCTGCAACGATAATAAAAGTACTGCTGGTCAAAGTTTGTGTGAATATCGTGTAAATATTCGTCTTCAAGGTAGGTTTTAGCCTTTTTAAAGCCTATGGGAACAGAATGATGTGCATGTTTATCCCCACCGATATGTTTCCCAGACTTTCCAATATGTCTGTCCATCTCTGCCCTTGTAAAAAGAAGCGCCTTTTCAAGGGATGATCCCCAGCCGTCCGATGTAATTTTCGGTTTCCACTGTGTCCCAGGTGATGGTGTTGATGAGCTTGCCATATCACTTGCATCGTCCGCCGTTTTATAAGAATTCGCACCCATACGGTGAAGCTTCCGTTTCGTGTAAATCATCTCGGGATCTGGATCGACAATATTTTGATCCAACCTTCTGCTTACATATTCCTCTACCCTGAAATAAAAGAATACAAATCATAATTCTACATAACGCACACGGCAAACGATCCTAAATATTCAATAAGTCTTACCTTTTTACGAGCTGGGCTTTAGTTGACAGACCTTTGCACGAGTCGCCGCGACAGCGCAACCAAAACTCCAATTCGGAGTTCTTCAGTGTTGAGGGTTTTCTTCCAGCAAGCGAACTTCCCGAAATATCTTCTTCGGTTAGTAAACGCAGTCCATATAAAGCAAGAAGTATTCTCTTCCTGACCGGAAGGGTTCGTTACTAAATGATACGTTTGTCGAAAACTTCTTATTAAAAACTGTAAAATTTCTTAGGTTTGGCCCTCATGACCTCGTTTTCGTGCCACTCGCCTCAGCTTTTACCGGTTGGCGGCCATTCTGGAATAAGGTGTAGTGAGAAATGTTTGGC